GGGCAGGTTCACCTATTGATAGACGGTCTACTACAGAATATTGTGTTTTTCTGGGAGGAAACATTATTTCATGGAAAAGTAAGAAACAAAATGTAATAGCTCGATCAACTGCTGAAGTCGAGTATAGGGCAATGGCGTCACTAATATGTGAACTTATATGGGTGAAACAATTCCTTCAAGAGGTTAAATTCTGTGACATCCATACTATGAAGATGTATTGCGACAATCAAGCTGCTCTCCACATATGCATTGAGTTTATTGGGTCAAACGATCAACTCGCAGATGTATTGACCAAGTCATTAAGGGGTCCTCGGATTGAGTTTATTTGTTCCAAGCTTGGTATATACAATTTCTATGCTCCAGCTTGAGGGGGAGTGTTAGGATATTTATCCTATTTTATCATCATTATAGTGTGTCAAGGGTTATCCTATTTATCATGATTATAGTGTCTAGGATTACCCTACTTATCATGATTATATTGTGTCTAGGGTTACCCTATTTATTATGTACTTTTGTATCAATTTATTCTTATAAATAGAAGATCATGAGAGGGATCAATCAAGCCCTCTAGAATTATTTTACAGTTTAATTCTCAAGTCTTAGTATTCTTCATCAGAGAATTTAGGGTCAACACTTCAGCTTTTGAGACATTGGCTATCTTGTTCGGAAAGTCGTGCAAGGAGAAGTAATTTTCTTGAATGTGACATTCTCTTATAAGGACATCCTGCGGATGACCATGTCTTCCTCTATCATTGTGTCCTCCTCTTCCACATGCAAAAACCATAATAGAAGGTTCCACATGTTCATGAACATCTTTTCTTTGAAGTGTTGGAATCCGAAGGAGTTGTGTGGTCAAACTTTCATTGGAAAGAACTTCATGACTTGTTAAAAGTTTATCTCTAATATGATCAAAGTCAAGATGTACAGCAAAAAGGATCATCACCATGTATTTTCTAGTTTCTTCTTATTCTCATCCAATGACTCAACCTCCAAAAACATATTTAATTCTTCAACTGCAAATTGAGCTTCACTCATGAAAGACACCTAATCATTGGATATGGTTTGCATAAATATTTTGAGCCTTTTTTCCAAAAAGAGTTGCAAGTTTTAAAAGATCTAAGAGTACCCAATAATTAAGGTTCTGCAGACTATCACAGTAACACACAACTGAATTCAATTCACTTTCACGGTTCAACTTGCTCAAAAGGCACATTACTTCCATCTGGTTCAAGGTAGTCATGGTGACCTTGGCCAACGAACCACATTTCAACAAAGGCAAACCACAACACATACTTTTTCCCATTTAGTTTCCCAGGGGTAATGGAAGGAATTCCAGAGGAAATAGTAGTTCCAGTAGACATTTCAGTCAAAGTTGGAGGAAACTAACAGGGACATAGAATTAGCCACTAAGCAAACCCGTTAACCACATCAGAAAAAAAAAAGACGACCAAGGACTAAAACGACACTGGGGAGGTCCGTTATGCCCGAACTAGGAGTCTCGACGTTGCTCTGGTGAGAGGAAGGCGGCACTTGTACCTCACATGCCCAATAGTAGCGAGGAGAAAGTGCATGTGTGGAGGCGCATGGAGTAGAGATAGGCTCAGGGACTGATGAGGTTGTTCATTGCTTAGGGAGACACTCTAGTTCCAATGGCTCCTGAAGAAAATTGTGGCAATAGACATAGAAGAAGACTCAGACCAAGAGCGAGATTTACTAGCTCTAATACCAACTTAAGATTAATAAGAGAGAAAATATATTCTAGAGGGCTTCAAAGACCCCACTTATGATCTCATACTTATAATGATAAAAAACTGATACAATGAGAAGATGAAAGATCAAAAGGCTGAACTAGAAACCTAGGTACAACTCATAGGTACAATAGATAGTAATTCCCAACACAACTACTTTCTACCCAAATTTAATACTCATTCTAACAAAGACAAGAAAAATACTGTGTCCTTGGGTTATTTTGGTTTGGGTTTTCTTGGCCAAAAAATGGCTGATGGCTAACCCTTGTAGTTATAGTGGGAACATGAATGGGCAGAAAATACAGAACAGGGCCACACTGACAAAGGTCGGGCATAGCTGCAAAATGTTGCTAGATAAAGATGGGTGTTGGTGAGAATGAATGTGCTCAAGTCAGTGGGAAAATTAGGCTTTCATTTAAAGTTAAAATCTCCAATTCAATGAAAGAGAGGTGAATACCATCACCCCTGAAAAGCCATAGGTGACATTTACAAGGCTCACTTAAGGTTCTTGCAATGCCTTAGCACCACTCATAACATGCCCCAATTTCACCATTTATCACAACCACTATTTAAAATTGTGATGATATTTAAGTTTCATAGTGACCAAGAGCGTATCTGCAACACTATTCCACTATATCATTCTATTGATAACTATGTTTTCAAAAAACACAGAATTTTTTTTCAAAATGTTGGATATAAACACACACACATATGAGGAGGGGTCAAAAACAATGACAAAACAAGACAAATAGATATAAAAATGGCTCCATTTTATTTATTTTGATGTCTCTGTGTAACTAGATATAAATCATACTTGATTAGCGTTCGTGATATTACAGAGAACCCATAAAATTTTATTCCAAGATATTGAAAATTGCATTAACATGTTAGTATGAACTAAATGCCAAACTGAAATGAGAAATATATTTTCAAAATTTCAGAAGTTAAACTTATACACACACAGCAGTAAAAAAGAACCTTGAAGTTCACAATTTCCCCAAACTTCAAGAATTCTGTGTGGACATCCTCATAAAATTCTTCAAAGCAGCGATCAATCTCTTCATCTGTATACTGACAAAGGGGTTAAAGAGGTCAAAAAACATATTATGCATTGAAATGTGATATTACATAAGGTCCTTTATACAAGAAACAAAGGGGTGTCCTTTTCTGGCCCTAATTACAGAAAATATACAACTATTCTAAAATATATTGATTGATAACTTTCTTTTATATACTTAATTTATTGTGAATTCTATTGATGAGATATTAATTCATTTCTCATAAAGGTGGATGCATGCATTGGACTATTAACTATATAAGTCACAGTAGTTGGTGGGAAAAACTATCCTTTGAATTACGAGTATGTCAACATATATAATATAACTAATACTTACACTATTTACATCTATGGGTGTTTCGGAAATTATTTTAGTTTGTAGCATTGTTAATAAAATTAACTAACTTAACTATTTTCCTCGAATTCAAATCAGTTATTTGTTTCTCATATAAAGGAATAGAGGTAGTAGTAATAATACAAAATACACACGTCATTTAATACTTTTTTGTATGATACAACTATTAATTTAATAAACCTGACAATTGAATCACGGGATATTATCTCTATGATCATGCATACACAAACTATGGAACATTCATAAGTATGCAATATTATTATAGAAAAGCACTTACATTTTCAAAATATATTTGTGTTAACATGAAGTAGCCTCAACTACATCAATGTACAAGGAGTTATCAAACACTGTAAATATGACAAGACTTATTCTTGGAACTAACACATGTTTGGATGAACTCATTTGGGGCAAAAAATAGTTTAACTCAAGGGTTCTTAAGAGTATTTTGAGGGAAAAAAGGATCAATTATTTACTAAACGATCATTATTTACCAAACATATTGTGAGGGGAACAAATACACATAGCATATATGTGTGTGCCTAGAAGACAGAGTAAGTACTAAAAGTGCTAGTTTTTTCAGAACCTAAAATAGTCTTTATAAGTTATCAAAAGTTTTTGATAAAAGTAAAACCCTTCTAATTAATTTCTAGGAATTATAAAAAAGAATGTGAAGAGAAATAGTGACATAGATGTCAGTTTCAGCTTTCCCTAGAGTGCATAAGGAGTGAAAAATACTACAAATTTTGGTTCGTGGCGTATGGGATGTTGTATGATAATGGAAATCAAAAAGAAGAAAATACAAAATCCCGAAGAAAGTGCACCCTCAATTATACAGAATGTTGGCAGATAAACATAACACAAAATCATTTAATCGGAAAAATTCTCCATCCCTCCTGCAGGAAAAAGACAAAATAGAAAAATCACAGTAACAATTTATTTTAACAATCACTAACTGAGTCAATATTTTTAAGCTCTTGCTGCCGCAATCTCAAACACTTTGAAGGTCATGACAATTAGGCTGCAACATAGGTCCATAAGCCAAGACTTGGATAACCCCTGACAACTACGTCCGGTTAAGGAGCATGAACATGTAAATTATTAGAGTATGAGATATTGGAAGTTTATAGCAAAGATCTGAAAGAAAAACGTTTTAAATAATCAATCTAAACATTTTAAAATGTTATGCTGCCATAATATTAATTCAGACAGTATCAGAAACAAAAATTCTTCCCCTCATGCCAGAAACACAAATTACCACAGAAGTATGATGCGAAATACATTGTGAACAACAGACTTTGATGGCTAATAAAATCAAGTAAAAAGGGAAAGGTACAATAAAAGTCAAACGAATTCAGCGAGTAACAAGCAGGGTGGAATTAATAGTAAAAGCTTATTCTCAGGCTCAGCAAGTAGGATACAACAGCCAATATCTTTAACATTGAGCAAGCAAGGCCAAAATCATTAGCCTCCAAAATGAGTCTTGCAATGAATCTGTGATTATTATTAAGTCAAAGAATTGAATAGACTCNAAGCAATCCCCACGTGCTTGGTTTGGAAAGTTTAGCTCCATTGTTCAAAAATTTGGGCTAAAACGCAGTGAAGCAGACCATTCAGTTTTTTACTGTCATTCTTCTCTCGGGAAATGTGTTTACTTAATAGTATATGTTGATGATATTGTCATTACAGGAAATGATGCTGTTGGAATATCTCAACTAAAAGAGTACTTGTGTAGACATTTTCAAACCAAGGATCTTGGAAGTCTCAAATACTTCTTAGGCATTGAAGTAGCGCAATCAAAAGATGGAGTTGTAATCTACCAAAGGAAGTATGCTCTTGATATATTACAAGAAACAGGCATGATTGATTGTAGACCGGTAGACAGTCCCATGGACCCAAACCAGAAATTAAAGACAGAAGAAGGTGAATTATTCTCCGATCCAGAGAGGTATAGGAGGCTGGTTGGAAAACTGATTTATCTCACTATTACAAGGCTAGATCTATCCTTTGCAGTTTGAGTGGTTAGTCAGTCCATGCAGGTTTCATGTGTTGACCATTGGAATGCTCTCATTCGCATTCTAAGGTATGTAAAGAAGGCTCCTGGGCAAGGATTATTATATGAAGATAAAGGAAGCATTCAGGTCTCTGGGTATTGTGATGCAGATTGGGCAGGTTCACCTATTGATAGACGGTCTACTACAGAATATTGTGTTTTTCTGGGAGGAAACATTATTTCATGGAAAAGTAAGAAACAAAATGTAATAGCTCGATCAACTGCTGAAGTCGAGTATAGGGCAATGGCGTCACTAATATGTGAACTTATATGGGTGAAACAATTCCTTCAAGAGGTTAAATTCTGTGACATCCATACTATGAAGATGTATTGCGACAATCAAGCTGCTCTCCACATATGCATTGAGTTTATTGGGTCAAACGATCAACTCGCAGATGTATTGACCAAGTCATTAAGGGGTCCTCGGATTGAGTTTATTTGTTCCAAGCTTGGTATATACAATTTCTATGCTCCAGCTTGAGGGGGAGTGTTAGGATATTTATCCTATTTTATCATCATTATAGTGTGTCAAGGGTTATCCTATTTATCATGATTATAGTGTCTAGGATTACCCTACTTATCATGATTATATTGTGTCTAGGGTTACCCTATTTATTATGTACTTTTGTATCAATTTATTCTTATAAATAGAAGATCATGAGAGGGATCAATCAAGCCCTCTAGAATTATTTTACAGTTTAATTCTCAAGTCTTAGTATTCTTCATCAGAGAATTTAGGGTCAACACTTCAGCTTTTGAGACATTGGCTATCTTGTTCGGAAAGTCGTGCAAGGAGAAGTAATTTTCTTGAATGTGACATTCTCTTATAAGGACATCCTGCGGATGACCATGTCTTCCTCTATCATTGTGTCCTCCTCTTCCACATGCAAAAACCATAATAGAAGGTTCCACATGTTCATGAACATCTTTTCTTTGAAGTGTTGGAATCCGAAGGAGTTGTGTGGTCAAACTTTCATTGGAAAGAACTTCATGACTTGTTAAAAGTTTATCTCTAATATGATCAAAGTCAAGATGTACAGCAAAAAGGATCATCACCATGTATTTTCTAGTTTCTTCTTATTCTCATCCAATGACTCAACCTCCAAAAACATATTTAATTCTTCAACTGCAAATTGAGCTTCACTCATGAAAGACACCTAATCATTGGATATGGTTTGCATAAATATTTTGAGCCTTTTTTCCAAAAAGAGTTGCAAGTTTTAAAAGATCTAAGAGTACCCAATAATTAAGGTTCTGCAGACTATCACAGTAACACACAACTGAATTCAATTCACTTTCACGGTTCAACTTGCTCAAAAGGCACATTACTTCCATCTGGTTCAAGGTAGTCATGGTGACCTTGGCCAACGAACCACATTTCAACAAAGGCAAACCACAACACATACTTTTTCCCATTTAGTTTCCCAGGGGTAATGGAAGGAATTCCAGAGGAAATAGTAGTTCCAGTAGACATTTCAGTCAAAGTTGGAGGAAACTAACAGGGACATAGAATTAGCCACTAAGCAAACCCGTTAACCACATCAGAAAAAAAAAAGACGACCAAGGACTAAAACGACACTGGGGAGGTCCGTTATGCCCGAACTAGGAGTCTCGACGTTGCTCTGGTGAGAGGAAGGCGGCACTTGTACCTCACATGCCCAATAGTAGCGAGGAGAAAGTGCATGTGTGGAGGCGCATGGAGTAGAGATAGGCTCAGGGACTGATGAGGTTGTTCATTGCTTAGGGAGACACTCTAGTTCCAATGGCTCCTGAAGAAAATTGTGGCAATAGACATAGAAGAAGACTCAGACCAAGAGCGAGATTTACTAGCTCTAATACCAACTTAAGATTAATAAGAGAGAAAATATATTCTAGAGGGCTTCAAAGACCCCACTTATGATCTCATACTTATAATGATAAAAAACTGATACAATGAGAAGATGAAAGATCAAAAGGCTGAACTAGAAACCTAGGTACAACTCATAGGTACAATAGATAGTAATTCCCAACACAACTACTTTCTACCCAAATTTAATACTCATTCTAACAAAGACAAGAAAAATACTGTGTCCTTGGGTTATTTTGGTTTGGGTTTTCTTGGCCAAAAAATGGCTGATGGCTAACCCTTGTAGTTATAGTGGGAACATGAATGGGCAGAAAATACAGAACAGGGCCACACTGACAAAGGTCGGGCATAGCTGCAAAATGTTGCTAGATAAAGATGGGTGTTGGTGAGAATGAATGTGCTCAAGTCAGTGGGAAAATTAGGCTTTCATTTAAAGTTAAAATCTCCAATTCAATGAAAGAGAGGTGAATACCATCACCCCTGAAAAGCCATAGGTGACATTTACAAGGCTCACTTAAGGTTCTTGCAATGCCTTAGCACCACTCATAACATGCCCCAATTTCACCATTTATCACAACCACTATTTAAAATTGTGATGATATTTAAGTTTCATAGTGACCAAGAGCGTATCTGCAACACTATTCCACTATATCATTCTATTGATAACTATGTTTTCAAAAAACACAGAATTTTTTTTCAAAATGTTGGATATAAACACACACACATATGAGGAGGGGTCAAAAACAATGACAAAACAAGACAAATAGATATAAAAATGGCTCCATTTTATTTATTTTGATGTCTCTGTGTAACTAGATATAAATCATACTTGATTAGCGTTCGTGATATTACAGAGAACCCATAAAATTTTATTCCAAGATATTGAAAATTGCATTAACATGTTAGTATGAACTAAATGCCAAACTGAAATGAGAAATATATTTTCAAAATTTCAGAAGTTAAACTTATACACACACAGCAGTAAAAAAGAACCTTGAAGTTCACAATTTCCCCAAACTTCAAGAATTCTGTGTGGACATCCTCATAAAATTCTTCAAAGCAGCGATCAATCTCTTCATCTGTATACTGACAAAGGGGTTAAAGAGGTCAAAAAACATATTATGCATTGAAATGTGATATTACATAAGGTCCTTTATACAAGAAACAAAGGGGTGTCCTTTTCTGGCCCTAATTACAGAAAATATACAACTATTCTAAAATATATTGATTGATAACTTTCTTTTATATACTTAATTTATTGTGAATTCTATTGATGAGATATTAATTCATTTCTCATAAAGGTGGATGCATGCATTGGACTATTAACTATATAAGTCACAGTAGTTGGTGGGAAAAACTATCCTTTGAATTACGAGTATGTCAACATATATAATATAACTAATACTTACACTATTTACATCTATGGGTGTTTCGGAAATTATTTTAGTTTGTAGCATTGTTAATAAAATTAACTAACTTAACTATTTTCCTCGAATTCAAATCAGTTATTTGTTTCTCATATAAAGGAATAGAGGTAGTAGTAATAATACAAAATACACACGTCATTTAATACTTTTTTGTATGATACAACTATTAATTTAATAAACCTGACAATTGAATCACGGGATATTATCTCTATGATCATGCATACACAAACTATGGAACATTCATAAGTATGCAATATTATTATAGAAAAGCACTTACATTTTCAAAATATATTTGTGTTAACATGAAGTAGCCTCAACTACATCAATGTACAAGGAGTTATCAAACACTGTAAATATGACAAGACTTATTCTTGGAACTAACACATGTTTGGATGAACTCATTTGGGGCAAAAAATAGTTTAACTCAAGGGTTCTTAAGAGTATTTTGAGGGAAAAAAGGATCAATTATTTACTAAACGATCATTATTTACCAAACATATTGTGAGGGGAACAAATACACATAGCATATATGTGTGTGCCTAGAAGACAGAGTAAGTACTAAAAGTGCTAGTTTTTTCAGAACCTAAAATAGTCTTTATAAGTTATCAAAAGTTTTTGATAAAAGTAAAACCCTTCTAATTAATTTCTAGGAATTATAAAAAAGAATGTGAAGAGAAATAGTGACATAGATGTCAGTTTCAGCTTTCCCTAGAGTGCATAAGGAGTGAAAAATACTACAAATTTTGGTTCGTGGCGTATGGGATGTTGTATGATAATGGAAATCAAAAAGAAGAAAATACAAAATCCCGAAGAAAGTGCACCCTCAATTATACAGAATGTTGGCAGATAAACATAACACAAAATCATTTAATCGGAAAAATTCTCCATCCCTCCTGCAGGAAAAAGACAAAATAGAAAAATCACAGTAACAATTTATTTTAACAATCACTAACTGAGTCAATATTTTTAAGCTCTTGCTGCCGCAATCTCAAACACTTTGAAGGTCATGACAATTAGGCTGCAACATAGGTCCATAAGCCAAGACTTGGATAACCCCTGACAACTACGTCCGGTTAAGGAGCATGAACATGTAAATTATTAGAGTATGAGATATTGGAAGTTTATAGCAAAGATCTGAAAGAAAAACGTTTTAAATAATCAATCTAAACATTTTAAAATGTTATGCTGCCATAATATTAATTCAGACAGTATCAGAAACAAAAATTCTTCCCCTCATGCCAGAAACACAAATTACCACAGAAGTATGATGCGAAATACATTGTGAACAACAGACTTTGATGGCTAATAAAATCAAGTAAAAAGGGAAAGGTACAATAAAAGTCAAACGAATTCAGCGAGTAACAAGCAGGGTGGAATTAATAGTAAAAGCTTATTCTCAGGCTCAGCAAGTAGGATACAACAGCCAATATCTTTAACATTGAGCAAGCAAGGCCAAAATCATTAGCCTCCAAAATGAGTCTTGCAATGAATCTGTGATTATTATTAAGTCAAAGAATTGAATAGACTCCTTTAAAAAAATAGAAATATCAGATGAAGAAGTGCGTGGATTTTGGAATGATAAAAAATGAATTTAAGGATATAAAACGATGCAAATTGATGTATACAAGATGTAAGGGGGAGGGTGAAAATAGTATAGAATAGTTTGAATGGGATTTATGATGATGATGATGATGATGATGATGATTGCGGAAAAAAAATAGTACAAGGGAGTGGAATTTAGTTGCCGATTATCAAGAAATAAGAGCACTGACTGATGAAAGTAAGTGAAGAATGAAGAGGATACGATGAAGTGAATGAACAGACCTCGAGGCCCTCGTCTTGGTCCCGATCGCAAGCAAGGCCAGGACCGTTGTACATGTTTTCCATTAGAAGAGTGGAGGATTTATCAGGGATAAAATGGACTCTACTACAGCGCCTACCAAAGCGACATGCTCCCGTTTTTAGATGAAAAGGGCAATGAGCTTTATCCTGGAAAAGGCAGAAGCAGTGAGTGAGAGAGAGGGAGAGAGAGAGAGAGGGAGAGGATTACTCAAATGAAAGGCACCTGTTCCGTTCCGAAATTGGGTATTTGTTGAGCAACGTCCTGGAGGTTCTGAGTGCGCGATTCCGATTCCGATTCCGGGGGTAAGGGATTGGATGTAGGTCTAATGTCGTCATTCTGCTGCGAATAGTTATTGTGGGTGTCGGTGTCCGGAACCCTGACTCTGAGCTGTTTCTTATTGAAGATGATCTCGTTTCCTTGCCAAATAATCTCCGGAGGGCCTTCTTCCTGAACCACGTATTCAAATTCGTTGTCGTGGTCGATGCTCTGCTCTTGGTCTCGTTCTTGCTGCTGCTGCTGCTGTCGTTGTCGGGTGATTATCATATCCATGAAAGCCTTCTCCCTCTCCTGAAAGAGGATCGTGTCCCTCTGCATTCTCTCCGCCTCCTCCTGCTCCAGCAATTGCATCCGCCTCTGCTCCTCCGGATCGTTGAGGCGGTCCTCCTCCTCCCGTCGTTCACTCTCCGCCGCCTCCTTCCTCGTCTGCTTCCGCTTCATTTTCTTCATTGCCTTCCTCTTCTCCTTTCGACCCATACTCTTGCCGTCTTCCATTTCTCCCTTCACCCAACCTTTCTCTTCTCTTCTCTTCTATGTGTAATGTGTAAATTTTGTTGTTATTTTTTCTATATTTTTGGATTGTTCTTGGGCTCCTTCTTTATCATTCATTTTGTTTTTTCTTTGTTTTTTTTAAGTTGCTATAAAATACTGTAATTTAATAAAAAAAATGTTTATAATTTTTGCATTGTGTATTCTAAAAGTTAAAAATAATTTCTAAAAAAATAAAAAATGATAATTGATTTATTTGACGGTGCAGGAAGAAAAATATAGGAAAGTGCAGAAAGAAGCTGGTAATGGGTCTTCTCGTCTTTTCTTCTCACGGCCCATTAGCCCAGCCTGCACTTCTATGAATGTAAAATTTCTATTTTGTTTTTTAAGACGTAACAATGTTTTCAAATGAGTACGTCTCATGTCTTCTAAACTGCACTCGAATGATAAAAGTCAAAAATAAATAAATAGAAAAGGAAAAGAGAAAAATAAATAGACTCTCCATTTCAGTGTATTTAAACATTTGAGGTTTGTGGAAATAGCTTCAGAAAGATAATATGATGTTTGAAGTGAACTCCCGCAACATACAAATTTAATAAATTTAATGAAAAGATACTTAAAAATATAATAGTTCACATTATATTACAATATTTAAAAATGTCTTATTATAATTTTTTTGATAAAATATTTATTATTATCTATTTATATTTATAATTTTATAATTCAATAATATTTTATTATTTATCATTATCTGTATATGATTTCATAAGTCGGTGTATTTTTTCCTTAAGAATAACAAATTAAATTATATAAAAAAAGTTACAAAACTCTAAAACAAAATTCTAATATGCAAATAAAAAGAAAAAAAAAAGATTTAATTGATTGTTCAAATATTTCAAAGTGTCCCAGAGTTAAAATATCTAATATAAAATAGACAATATTAAAAATTATTATCAAATCATAATATAATTCTACATTTTCACTACATTTTTCTCAATAATTGAAAACTTCATTTTAAGATGGAACAACAATAAAAATGTTTCGAGCTTATTAAGAGATAGTTGTTCTAGTAATAAATGTTACGAAGATTGAGTTTAACCACTTTATATCTAATCACAATGTTTTTTTGCATCATGCTCATATGAGAAGGTCGTCCTCAGGTGCACCCTCCAACTTTCACTTGTTCACCTAAAACTATCATCAAGACATCATCAAAAGGGTGTAACTAGTCTCAAAGAATCTGTAGTCCTACAAAAGCATCCCAAAACATCACATCCGCCAAACTTCTTTGGTCAATTAGAACTTGGTGCATGTTTCTTCCCATCATTGCTACAAAAAGTGTTATGGGATTATCTTCTTGTGGTATGATCCCTTTTCTCTGGTCTTCCTTGGTTAATGTCACATCAGACATTGGTATATGTCACTTTTTAGCCAACCTTGTTTTCACTCCGCGTGCAAAACCTCCTACAATGGTGTTGAAATATCCTAAAACGGGAATTTCATGGTTATAAATTTATTTTATTCACAACATCTTCATTTTTCTTTCCCTCCTTTAAATATTTTTGCAATAACCTTTTATACACTAATCTACCGAGTTGATTTGTCAGTGAGTAATAGTTTTCAGTATCACATCATTGTGCATGATGAAAATCACACCAGGTTGTTGTTTTTCTACCTATTACTTTAGAGTTCGACATCGAAAATTCAAATGCCTAGAGACATCCTCAATATTTAGCATGTCATCCATGAAGAGGTAGAGCTAGAACGGTTTGGTCTTTGTCTTCTGTCGTTTTCCCTTCTCAAACCTTCATAGGTTTACATTGTTCTACATCCACTATTACACAACTATTTGCTGGTTCTATGTAATTGTTCTTGTTGACAAAGAGCCTTTTTCTATATGATAGCACAACTCATCGATTTTCCTTATCGATTGCTCGCTTTCCTTTTTGGTTTCTCATCACAATCATTCGCACTCCTCCTTAGCTTAATGCCGCATGTGTTTGTGTCCCTCTTCAACTTCTTATTGTAGCACTTGCTTAGCCTTTGCTCAGGTCCGATCTTCCTCTGAACATCATCATTTCGCCTCATTCTCTCGTCTCAACACTTTAATACTTTGCATGACTTGACTTGTTGTATTGATGGTTGTCCATCCCCACCATTGCTCATGGTATTCCTGACCATAGATTCTTTATTAATTGAGTTTGGAATTAAGTTTTACCATGATTCCATTACATATGGCAATTGTTCAAGTAAAAAATTATGTTTTTTATCGAAGACAAACACAGAAATAATTACAAATTGTTTTTATTCTCTAAAAAATAAGAGAATATTTCAGTTACAAAGATAAAAATCAAATAAAGATCACAGAAATAATAACAAAATACAAAGATAATAACAAAGTATTTAATACTACAAACATAACTAAATTTTTTAAATAATAACAAAAAAAGTCGCTAAATTGAATTTTGATCGTGGGTTAATTTCTTTGCTCGACCCATAACGAACTCGATTCAAAGTCCAGAAGGTTAGTTCGGCCTGTGACAAATCTTTATTGAAACTCATTGTTTTGATAAAACTTTCTTAACTACAATAATTTCGCACCGATTCGGTCTTAACCTAAATGCGAAGAGGTCAGTCACCTTTAGACGGTATAATAATTATTTTATGTTTTGGACTTTGTGTCTTAAGTTGAAGTTTGAAGACAATTTCTCCTGCACTTCCATACTTTTAACCCGCACTTCCCGTATGCTAGAAAATTTTATTTTATCACTTTATTATTTTTATTAAGTTCTGAAATCAATAATTTGGAGGCATTCCAGAATAAATTCGTATTTTGGATTCTATATTTCGAAATATAGAATAAAAAATACATTCCATAACGTACGATATGAAATACAAAATTCATATTCTGGAATGCACATTAGTGAGAACAGACAAAAAGACCAATATTTTTAATCGGCACAGCGGGGTAAGGTATTCTAAATCAAAAACTGAAGGAGGAGTGAAAGAGAAGGTGCAATAGATTGGTGTAGTAAGAAGATGAAATGAAGAAAATAAAGACAAATAGGTCATTTCACTCCATGGGAGAGCAACTTGAAATGGATGCAGATGTAGGAAGAAGCTACCCATTTATGGATCAAACAAATCTTGGGAAAGAGACACCAGGAAAATGACAGCACTTTCACTTTCTCAAGTACAACATAAAACTTTTACTTTCACTTTCACCTTCATTCCAATATTAGATAACAAGAATCATCATCATCACTACATATCATCACTACATAGGACAACAATAACACTTAATTGTTGTAAATAATAATGTAAACAAATATAACATGTTTCCAACTAAAAGTCACCCATTTATTGTTTTACTTCAATTGCAATAATATTTTAAATAAACCAGAAAATCTCATACTTCTTTACAAAAAACCTTTATATTCTTGATGCGTAAAGAGAAGTAAATAAAATGATCGATGAAGATAACAATGGTCACTCACGACAAGAACTCAATAGAAAAATATAAAATTTTTGAATACTCAATAACAAAAATTTTAAAAACTTAATTAAAAATATTAAAATTTTCAAAAGATTTGAAATTAATTAAACAGAAGAATAAAATGACAAAAATAATACCGTTACAAAAAAAAATCCAGCTGATGAAGTAATATTCATTCTAACTTTCTAAAAATTATGTAGCTTCATATGCATACCCCCGCGCATATGTGCCATATGCATTTAATGATACATTTGCATACGATCTATATCAGAGCTACATATACAATGGATTTTTGAGCCTTACATATTTGTAGTACTCCACTGAGAAATGAACCTTTTATCTACAATAATGGATTCAATTCAACTTTGTCTAAACCTATAGAAAAACAAGGTCTGATGAACCAATAACAAATGGTGGTCTCAACAGCATTTTTTATGAGCTCGCTTACAAAATTGCAATTGTTTGTTTCTACTGAAGGAGTCACCGATTGAAGCAATGTGAGAGCAACCGAGAGGCCACGGTCCTTTAAAATTTCACTTTGTTATAATCCATTTCTATTTCTGATGAAATGTCGATAAGATGCTGATCACTTAAAACATTTGCATTCAATATCTCAACAACATGTGTTATCACAAGGAAATTCAAATTCCCCTAAAAGAATACACACTACCTTCCTCCAAATACAGCTTAAGCTCAACGCTAATATCTAGTACATAGTCTAAATATAACTCTTGAGGCAAAAAACTTGAAATTTCTTTCTGGTTAAATGGGGAAGAATATCAATGGCAGTACAAAAAATATAGATATCAAGGCGTGATATTAAAGGTTGATTTATAAGAATAAATTAAAAATGACATGTCATACAAGACAGGATTACATGTGACAGACAAATTCTTGTATCATCGTTCTATAAACTCATAAATATAGTGATACCGAACAGCAGAAATCGGTGTCACAGAGGATTAAGCTGCTACCTGTTCAGGGACTTCTGATTGCTGTTGATGTGATTCCTCAAAGTGAGAACCTACTCCTGAAGAAGGGCCATACGGTCCAGTCAGGTGAGAAGATGGCCCTGGGGCTGTACGATAAGGCGGTGACATTTTAGGTGAGGCCCCATATGAAGGAGCATATGACCCTGATACTGGAGGAGCTGGTCCAGCTGGTGGGTGTTGTCCAACAATTGGAGGGGGAACACCAGACGGTGGATATCGTGGTTCTGACATTTGTTGGAGCCCACGTGGTGTTGCATAAGGCTGATATCCTCCCATTTGAGGTGAAGGTCCAGATGGTGTATAATGCTGGGCTGTCATTTGCGGGGCTGCCCTGTTCGTTTGAGAAGAAAGTTCGAATGTAGAGGGGTGGTGAGATTGTCCTGGTATATGAGGTGAAGGTCCAGGCGCTGTAGTGTGAGGCCCAGTCATTGGAGGAGAAAATTTCCATGAAGGTTGATGCATTGGCGGGCGTTCGTGTCCCGACACTTGATGTGGAGCCACATAAGATGAGTTATGTGGTGCTCCGGCCATTTGAGAACGTGGCAATTGAAACCCAGAAGGTGGATAATGTGCTCCAGTCATTTGAGGAGAAGGAGGTGTTGGACTCTGTGCCGCCCTTTGTGTTGGAAACCCAGAAGGGTTAAGTGTAGCTCCTGACATCTGAAAAGGTGGTGGTGGGTGCAGTTGAGCTGCCATTTGTGTGGTGGGAGGTCCAGAATGTGGGTTATGTGGCGCACGGTAAGCAGGTCTTGGAGGGGATGGACGAGGAGTGTATGCAAATCTGTTGACATCTAGTAGCCTTTCAATCTCGTCACCTCTCCCGGCTTCCTTAAAAACCTCAGTAACACATTCCCGCAAGGCAGTAGTAACCCCAACACCATACCTCATAACCTCATCTAGCAGCTCTACGCTTTTGTCCAATAACCCATGGGCACAAAGTCCCTTGATTACAACCTCATAGCAAGTGGGGTCTGGTTTGGGATCTTTCTCTCCTAATTTACTTAAAATTTGAGCACATTCACTAGCCTTACCATTCTCAATCAATTTATCAAACACCATGTTACCAAAAGCAGCAACTACCCTGAGACCAGTATCTGCCATTCTGTTGAACACCCTGAGAGCATCATCGATCCTCTCCATTCTCAAGTAGGCTTCAATCAAAGTTTTGTGAGTAGGAACATCGGGGCTTAAAGACTTCGAGCAGAGTTCTTCAAACAGGGTCTCAGCTTGCGAAAGCATCCCATTCTCACAAAACCTAGCAATGATATTATTGTAGCCGGCAACGTCCATGGCAAAGGGCTTAGAATTATGTTTAGTACCAACCTTCTTAAAAGTTGCAAGGGCCTCCTCAAAGTTTCCGAGCTTAAAGCACTCATTGACCATAAGATTGAAGGTATCAGAGTTAACAGCTTGGAAATTGGGAGGGGTGTGATTGTCGAGCATATGATCAAACAAGGCCCAAGCCTCAGTTTTCCTGGCATGCTTGAGCAAACACTCCAACAAAACGTTGCAAGTGGCAGGGGTCATCCTAAACTGGCGCTCCAACAAGGACCTGTAGGACTCCATGGCTTCCTTATCCCTACCCTTTTTGAAGAACCATTCCATGAAAGTGGAATTCACAACCCCGTCATACACCAGGCAGCGCTCCTTAAGCTCGTCGAAGAGCTCATTGGCCTTCTCCAAATTCTCCAGTTCGAGAAAGCCTGAAATGAGGTTGTTGTAGACGAGGGAATCCGCGCCGTGGCCCTTAGTGAGCATCTCGCGCAAGAGGTCGACGGCTTCGGAAATTCGACCGGCTTGGATCAAACCTTTGGTGAGATGGCGATAGGTAACGGGGGAGGGACTGAAAGGAGCGTTGGCGAGGACGTGGCGATAGACTTCAAGGGCCACGTCGACACGACCCTCGTCGCAGTGGGTGTTGATCACGTTGTTGTAATAGACGATGTTGGGGACGATATTGAATTGGTTGAAGAAGAAGTGGAAGAGGGCAATAGCCTCCTCGTACCGCTTCGACCGGTACATGGCAGCGATGATGGCGTTACAGGTGAAAACGGTGGGCCGTGTCATAGAGAACACTGCGTGCCGGGTGATGGCGGACGCCGCCTCGAGGTCGCCTGCGCGGATGAGGGACTGCACGCGGTTGTGGAGGCTCAACCGGGGGCCCACGAGCGCCGAAGTTGAGTCCGGGAGGCGAGGAGCGTTAGGGTCGCGCGGAGGACCCTGCTGCGGCGGAGGACGAATAGCATTCAGGGGAGGCTCGATGCGCAGACGCCGCTTCCGTCGGCGGCGCTCGGCCGCAGCTTCTTCGGCGGAGGAAAAGGCGTAGGAACGNGATGGGAGGGGTGTGATTGTCGAGCATATGATCAAACAAGGCCCAAGCCTCAGTTTTCCTGGCATGCTTGAGCAAACACTCCAACAAAACGTTGCAAGTGGCAGGGGTCATCCTAAATTGGCGCTCCAACAAGGACCTGTAGGACTCCATGGCTTCCTTATCCCTACCCTTTTTGAAGAACCATTCCATGAAAGTGGAATTCACAACCCCGTCATACACCAGGCAGCGCTCCTTAAGCTCGTCGAAGAGCTCATTGGCCTTCTCCAAATTCTCCAGTTCGAGAAAGCCTGAAATGAGGTTGTTGTAGACGAGGGAATCCGCGCCGTGGCCCTTAGTGAGCATCTCGCGCAAGAGGTCGACGGCTTCGGAAATTCGACCGGCTTGGATCAAACCTTTGGTGAGATGGCGATAGGTAACGGGGGAGGGACTGAAAGGAGCGTTGGCGAGGACGTGGCGATAGACTTCAAGGGCCACGTCGACACGACCCTCGTCGCAGTGGGTGTTGATCACGTTGTTGTAAGAGACGATGTTGGGGACGATATTGAATTGGTTGAAGAAGAAGTGGAAGAGGGCAATAGCCTCCTCGTACCGCTTCGACCGGTACATGGCAGCGATGATGGCGTTACAGGTGAAAACGGTGGGCCGTGTCACAGAGAACACCGCATGCCGGGCGATGGCGGACGCCGCCTCGAGGTCGCCTGCGCGGATGAGGGACTGCACGCGGTTGTGGAGGCTCAACCGGGGGCCCACGAGCGCCGAAGTGGAGTCCGGGAGGCGAGGAGCGTTAGGGTCGCGCGGAGGACCCTGCTGCGGCGGAGGACGAATAGCATTCAGGGGAGGCTCGATGCGCAGACGCCGCTTCCGTCGGCGGCGCTCGGCCGCAGCTTCTTCGGCGGAGGAAAAGGCGTAGGAACGGGTTTGGGTGAGAGAGAAGATGGGCCGGGAGGCGGCGATGGAGGACAGGCGACGTAGGAGCAGGCGGTGAAGCGACATCTTGATATGGTAATGGAATGCGAACTGAATCTCTGCGAGTGTTTCTTTCACTCCTCCCACACCAACAACGCTATGATAAACCCTAACTAACCCCTTTTACATTTGGAAACGCTTTCTCTTCCTCGTTCTCCTTTTTCTTTTTTTCTTTTTAACTATCACCACTTTTTTCAGTAATATTTTATTTTGATGATTGCTATAATTATAATGATACAATTATTTCTATTATTCATTAATAAAATCATCATCATTATTATTCATATATAATAATGTATGTTATTATACATAAGTTTAATATATATTAATCATTGTTCTTAATTTTTATATATTTATTACAGTATATAATTATTTTTAGATTATATTTCATCCATTTTTTAAATTTTAGTACATTTTGATCTTTTCTTTAAACAAATTATAAATTTTGTCCTTCAAAACTGTCGTTAAAATTAGGCTGAGTCTGACTAATATTAGTTACTTATTTTTATTATATATATATTATAACATTTAATTTTCATATATTATATACTTTTTTTTAGACAAGGCCTAATCAACAAATAACACTTCTACTGGGTTCTTTTAGCAAATTCTACCTCAAATTTTTAAGCTTAATTTAAGCTCTGTCTAGCTAACTTCTCAAATGTATATTGTTTTAACGCATCCAAGTTATAGAGAGTAGCACCAGTTCTCAAAGGCACAAAAAACATACATTTAGGAAAAAGCTCACAACTTGCTGCATTCCTAGAAAAAGACAGTCCAAAATGTAACTTTTACATTCTGAATCACCCTTTCCAGAATAAAAAGGGGTATACTTCACTTTTTACATTGACCATCCTTGAAAAAGAATAAAATAAACTATGCAATATGAACACCTGTATACCTGAGACTAGAAACAAAAATCGGATGCAAAATGTGACGTGTGAATTTCAAACGTGACTATGCACATGGACACTGGACATGGCATTCAATCAGTTAATGGTTTGTCAGGTTTGCCTGTTGTTGATATGGATCAATCCAACATTTGTCTTTCTTTGCTGCATCTCCCCATCTTTTACCGAAAACCTGCATTTCAATGTATGATTGCATCCTAACCTGCATGTAGCATGTTGCTTTGTCAAATAAGGGCAGTAAATGGAGCTAAAGGTTCATAAAGTCTTCATTGTTCTTTTGTGCAACTATGTTACTTACATTGGCTCTAGCATTACCTCCAGGAGAGTCTGACGATGCCTGCAATGCAAAGGACAAAGACCCTTATTAATCATTAGACTGCCAGTAAAATCTAAGCACAGATAGATATACCTGGTTTTAATATGTTGTCAACTTGAACTAAAAGTAGTCAAGCATACAAATCTTTAACAAGGCCAAATTCATATAGAATCTGCTTAAATTCAAACAAGATAGAAAACTGTGCGACTCTTGTCATCAAGTTACAGTACGTGTAGAAATGAAATCACTTGCCTCATTGCCATTTGGGCCACCAAGAGTAGGCAGGCCCAGATGAACTATGTACTCAGAATCAACAACACCAACATTTTTCATTCGATCACCCTGAAATATGGCTGAGAGATGAATAAAAAGGATTTGGAATGAAATGAATATGCTGATCTGGAGCAAGCAAGTTACCTGTGCACAATAGCCAAGCTGCCTATCCAGGCCCCAGGCATGGATTAAGTCATTCTGTAGATAGAAAGACGATTACATGAATATGAATATATGACTGTAAAAAAACCAATCTGAATTAAAAAATTAAAAAACTGTGCTAGCATGTTATATAATGTTCTCAGACAGAAATAATTCTTCAGAATTTTAAAAGTTAATTAAAAAATCTGTGCTATCATGTCATATAATGCTCCCAAGCATAAAAAGTTCTTTTTGGTCTTCGCAATAAGATTAAGTACCAAATTTACTTAGTTTTAGTATCCATACCTGGATTAAATGCCATACACATTGCCAAGACTTCTTAGAAAATACCGGTGCCATCATTTCCACCCAACTGCAAAACAAATTCTTTCCATATTTAATCATGAATCCAATTTAATGGCAAGAATGAGCAGTGCGTTAACTGAAAAGAAACCAGTACAAGACACACAGTGTACAACTGTTTACCCAATGCAAGGAGGAGCAATGCTACTATCATCACACCTTCCACTGCCTTTTAGTTTATAATACCTTCTGCATATACATAACAGCAAAAATAATATTAGCAATATTTTGAAAAAAAAAATCCCAGTAAAAAATCCCCTATAGCATGTTCGCATGGGAATGCAACCTCAGAATAGCAGATAAATGGAATTTACGAGACAAGCCACTGCAGATGTGTATTCAATTAAATGTAGACAATTTTAGCATTCATTCATTGCCTACAAATAATAGGGGTAAATTTTGTCCAGTATGCTTTCCAGACTACCACACTTTACAGAGAGATGTAATGTGTGCATGAGGCACATATATTGTGAAATATAACCTACAGTATGACTAGGAACTGTGCAATATTCTAGCTCATTAATACAGAATCAAGTTGGTTACTCTAAAAAATTGGGCTTAGAATCTAACAATTCCCACAAAACCTGTTTGTAAGGTGATAATTGATCATGCCTTATAAGGACTACACTATTTATATATTTAATTAATATGGAATTTCAATTTGCTAAGAGCCTGCATCCTGGTGGTTCCCGCACTACGACACTCCACTCGGCTTTGCTGATGAATCTCTTCAAAGGTAACATTTAAGACAGTTTTTCGACAGTTATGTTCTAATAACTGTAGGCACATACTCAATTAAGGCTGTGTTAGAGTAAGCAACTCCATTAAATTATATAAATTTTTATCATATGAGAACTTATTCACAAACTCAACTATGAAATTTACTTAAATAAGCTTTAAAAAATTTACTGTGACAAGTTTTTTTAATGTATTCAATTGAAATAAGCTGAAAGAGCTTACAGGAAGGTCATATGTCCAATGTAGTTCTTTGAAAGGTCCCCTATATTAGGACCACTCTGTTCATATACATTGGTAATATAAATAGCAAGGGTATGTTAGGGCACATTTTTCCATAGTACACTTTATGGAGACGCTGTGTGTCTCTTAGTATGCACATATTTTATAAATGAAACCCCCAAAAGGACAGGGGAACTATACAATATTTAAGATCATTAATAGAGTGCCATATTGGCTGTAATTTTAATAAAGGTGCGAATTTACCAGTGGAACATGTTTATTGCAAAAGTTAGAAAAAAAAGGTCAACCTGTGCAGTTTCGATCCGGCTTTATGGACTGTCAGTGGATGATGTACCTCAGATTTGGTAGGATCCAGAGCCGGCTGAGATATCTCAAGACCCTCTTCTTTAACAATAGATAAATACCTGTCAAATAATCAACAAGTCCTATAAGAGGCATATAATAATCACCAGAGATATAAAAAAAATACTATTTCTCATGTAGTATAGTCAAGTAAGACCTTTAAATTTAGTATCATCCTACTCTCTCGGAAAAATTTTACAAAACGAAGAAAAAAAACACTTACCTTTTTGGATCAAAATTATCAACAAGAAGGTCCTCATCCCAAAGAAATATGTAGTTGTATTCGGCAATTATGTCTGGATGCAAAAACCGTTTCGCAAACCACCTATGCCATGATATAGCATTATATTACTCAATCTTTACCCAAGAACTTAATCTTCAGAAAAGATTATAACAACTAGAGAAAAAAATTTGCCTGAGCCTTTTATACCATTTTGTTTGATTTATAGCAGATAGATGTATGACATGGTTACTCCAAGCTAAACTCTTCCATCCATCCACAAAACCATCATAGTGAAAAAGCATCACAACAAAATCACTTGACAAGAACTGCCACCAGCAATATGAGTCAGAAGATAGAATGAGTTTTAGATCAAAGAAAAATTGCACACGTGAAGGAATAATAACCTTTTCAACAATATTGTTGACAATTTCTTTCTGCTTAAGTCCTACTGCCATAGCCAACAGATTCAATGGGCGCTTTAAAATTGTCTACAAAAAAGAGAAAGTGATGCATAAAAAGAAAATTAATAAGGTAGATACCATCAACCTATAAGATAGCAGGATTTTGACTAATATATAGTGATAGGTCAGATCAGAAATAGGTAGAGTAACAAATATTTATTATAGAAAGCACTCTGATCGGTATCAGTGGGAAGCTAAACAAGAGATCCAAAATGATGAAATGGGGATTATCTCCCTCCTTAACTCCCAGGTAGTTCATTCTCTCCCTTCAGTGTCCAACTTCTTGCTTGCAACTTTTAGTAGACCCTGACCATTACTCCTTATCCCTTTAGTTACTGAATATAAGTAGTTATTCTATTGTTAACAGAACTGAGTCCTAATCCCCTAGTAATCCTCTTATTTGCCTAAGCTGGTCCCTTTCAATCAGTGGGTCGTTACTAAAACTTATTTACATAAAGAGAGTCAAATGCTTAATGTAGCAGATCACAAGAGAGGCAACCAAAGCATTCAAGCGAGAAACTTAACTTGTGTGCCGATAAGAAAGGGGATAGGGCGAAAAGAGATGCAGGAAATAAGCAGTGAACAGTGACAAAGAGTAAAGTGTCTCTTGAATACCCTGTTTTATATTTTGTGTTTCAGATTTTATTGTTCATTGTAATTCTATTTCATTGGTACTCATACATAAAGTGTTTTCAGAAGGATATACAGTAGATTCCCCACATATAAGCGAGATCTGTCCCAGATTCTAAAGTAAAATATTTGGTAAAGTACTTTGTTCTTTTGACTTTTAATCCTATGCATGAACATTTCCTAAGAGCAATAGAAAACTACTCTGACTTATGGAGCAAGTTATTTATATTCATAATTTGCAAGTCATCATTTCTTTCAGTTAGCTCATCATTGTGTACACTCCAATAATCCCAGAACATAAACGTGCATTTAAAAAACAAATAAATAAGATTACACCATTAAAAGTAGCATTCTAACATATAAAAAGCAGTCAAGAAGTAAGTGGCACAAAAACATATGAACCTCCACCTTCATATAAAAATCAGTGTGTTGAGAGTCTTGCTAATTTTGGAATTGATAATAGACTGGATTTTAAGTGGTTTAATGTTCTACCTTCTTTCATCAATTTAGACTTTTTCTGTAATAGGTATCAAGTCTCTAATTTTCGTTTTGTTTAATTCTTTTGTGATAGTGTGATTGTTTTGTTTCTAAGCATGGGTGTGGTTTAGTCCCGCCATGGTTTTGTATTTATTTTTCTCCTCCTTTATATGCAAATTCGTGTGATGACATATGATTGTTGAACTTTAGGGTAGAGATTCATAGTGATACCTCACATTTGAATTAAAAAAAAAAGTATTTACTTAGTGCAACCTAATATCAAATTTAAAAAGAAAAATATGAAGTTATTTCTTAATCATATCCCAATATGTCCATACACCAACTCTTAATATAAACAACAAAAGTCATCATAGTTAAAAATATTAATTGTACACATCAGATAACTTGTTCAAGATCAAACTCCAAACCAACTTTAGTAGAACCAAAAATATTTCCCGAAAGGACTGTACTTACAGTTGATTAACAACATTTTATCATGTGAAGCTTAAGATTAACACTTCATGAGTCTTAGATGAATTTCTATACAATAAATGAAGGACTAGAATTAGCACACCTCACACATACATGATCTTTACCAGAGTCCCATAAGGGCCGCATTTCCAAGTTAGATGTTCTGGCAATAATTCCTTCAGGTAATGCCTCACTTCCCAAAGGCCAGCATTCTCTCTATGAAAATGGAAAAATGAAGAGAATTGGAGATAGTTCCAAGGAATAAGCTTACAAGTTATATAAAAAAGAATCTCTCCCCCCAAAATAACAAACCTTGCAAGCATTTGATTTTGAATCTGGTATTGTATGAATTAGTCCCCATCGTGCTAATCTCTGCATACATAATACCCAGAATATTTTCAAGTAAGCAAAACTAATTTTCAATTGCAGAAAATAAAAACAAGAGTAACTAAAATTCAACTAGAGTTACAAACTGTCAGAGCCTAAAAGTTGAGTGCTACCAACACTCTTTGGATGCTCTTCCCACAAGTTCTCTATAGTTATGAAAATTTTATCAGGATCCCATCAAATAGTGAGTGGGCCCAGTTGTTTTTGATACCTACATAAAATTTAACCTATATAAAATATTGCATACGGTTTGTTTCTTTCATTTCTCCAGCCTAAGCTAAACTGGGAACCATTCGTCAAAGCTAAAAGAGATGCAACAGATGCGATCACATTTATGTTGGATGGTGGTGGGACTTTTAAGTCAATTCGCAACCACTTGACCTTGTTAGACAATCCAAGTTGGTGATTTTAATATTGTTAAATCAATTGAGAGCAGCAAATACTACCCAGAANTGTCAGGTTTGCCTGTTGTTGATATGGATCAATCCAACATTTGTCTTTCTTTGCTGCATCTCCCCATCTTTTACCGAAAACCTGCATTTCAATGTATGATTGCATCCTAACCTGCATGTAGCATGTTGCTTTGTCAAATAAGGGCAGTAAATGGAGCTAAAGGTTCATAAAGTCTTCATTGTTCTTTTGTGCAACTATGTTACTTACATTGGCTCTAGCATTACCTCCAGGAGAGTCTGACGATGCCTGCAATGCAAAGGACAAAGACCCTTATTAATCATTAGACTGCCAGTAAAATCTAAGCACAGATAGATATACCTGGTTTTAATATGTTGTCAACTTGAACTAAAAGTAGTCAAGCATACAAATCTTTAACAAGGCCAAATTCATATAGAATCTGCTTAAATTCAAACAAGATAGAAAACTGTGCGACTCTTGTCATCAAGTTACAGTACGTGTAGAAATGAAATCACTTGCCTCATTGCCATTTGGGCCACCAAGAGTAGGCAGGCCCAGATGAACTATGTACTCAGAATCAACAACACCAACATTTTTCATTCGATCACCCTGAAATATGGCTGAGAGATGAATAAAAAGGATTTGGAATGAAATGAATATGCTGATCTGGAGCAAGCAAGTTACCTGTGCACAATAGCCAAGCTGCCTATCCAGGCCCCAGGCATGGATTAAGTCATTCTGTAGATAGAAAGACGATTACATGAATATGAATATATGACTGTAAAAAAACCAATCTGAATTAAAAAATTAAAAAACTGTGCTAGCATGTTATATAATGTTCTCAGACAGAAATAATTCTTCAGAATTTTAAAAGTTAATTAAAAAATCTGTGCTATCATGTCATATAATGCTCCCAAGCATAAAAAGTTCTTTTTGGTCTTCGCAATAAGATTAAGTACCAAATTTACTTAGTTTTAGTATCCATACCTGGATTAAATGCCATACACATTGCCAAGACTTCTTAGAAAATACCGGTGCCATCATTTCCACCCAACTGCAAAACAAATTCTTTCCATATTTAATCATGAATCCAATTTAATGGCAAGAATGAGCAGTGCGTTAACTGAAAAGAAACCAGTACAAGACACACAGTGTACAACTGTTTACCCAATGCAAGGAGGAGCAATGCTACTATCATCACACCTTCCACTGCCTTTTAGTTTATAATACCTTCTGCATATACATAACAGCAAAAATAATATTAGCAATATTTTGAAAAAAAAAATCCCAGTAAAAAATCCCCTATAGCATGTTCGCATGGGAATGCAACCTCAGAATAGCAGATAAATGGAATTTACGAGACAAGCCACTGCAGATGTGTATTCAATTAAATGTAGACAATTTTAGCATTCATTCATTGCCTACAAATAATAGGGGTAAATTTTGTCCAGTATGCTTTCCAGACTACCACACTTTACAGAGAGATGTAATGTGTGCATGAGGCACATATATTGTGAAATATAACCTACAGTATGACTAGGAACTGTGCAATATTCTAGCTCATTAATACAGAATCAAGTTGGTTACTCTAAAAAATTGGGCTTAGAATCTAACAATTCCCACAAAACCTGTTTGTAAGGTGATAATTGATCATGCCTTATAAGGACTACACTATTTATATATTTAATTAATATGGAATTTCAATTTGCTAAGAGCCTGCATCCTGGTGGTTCCCGCACTACGACACTCCACTCGGCTTTGCTGATGAATCTCTTCAAAGGTAACATTTAAGACAGTTTTTCGACAGTTATGTTCTAATAACTGTAGGCACATACTCAATTAAGGCTGTGTTAGAGTAAGCAACTCCATTAAATTATATAAATTTTTATCATATGAGAACTTATTCACAAACTCAACTATGAAATTTACTTAAATAAGCTTTAAAAAATTTACTGTGACAAGTTTTTTTAATGTATTCAATTGAAATAAGCTGAAAGAGCTTACAGGAAGGTCATATGTCCAATGTAGTTCTTTGAAAGGTCCCCTATATTAGGACCACTCTGTTCATATACATTGGTAATATAAATAGCAAGGGTATGTTAGGGCACATTTTTCCATAGTACACTTTATGGAGACGCTGTGTGTCTCTTAGTATGCACATATTTTATAAATGAAACCCCCAAAAGGACAGGGGAACTATACAATATTTAAGATCATTAATAGAGTGCCATATTGGCTGTAATTTTAATAAAGGTGCGAATTTACCAGTGGAACATGTTTATTGCAAAAGTTAGAAAAAAAAGGTCAACCTGTGCAGTTTCGATCCGGCTTTATGGACTGTCAGTGGATGATGTACCTCAGATTTGGTAGGATCCAGAGCCGGCTGAGATATCTCAAGACCCTCTTCTTTAACAATAGATAAATACCTGTCAAATAATCAACAAGTCCTATAAGAGGCATATAATAATCACCAGAGATATAAAAAAAATACTATTTCTCATGTAGTATAGTCAAGTAAGACCTTTAAATTTAGTATCATCCTACTCTCTCGGAAAAATTTTACAAAACGAAGAAAAAAAACACTTACCTTTTTGGATCAAAATTATCAACAAGAAGGTCCTCATCCCAAAGAAATATGTAGTTGTATTCGGCAATTATGTCTGGATGCAAAAACCGTTTCGCAAACCACCTATGCCATGATATAGCATTATATTACTCAATCTTTACCCAAGAACTTAATCTTCAGAAAAGATTATAACAACTAGAGAAAAAAATTTGCCTGAGCCTTTTATACCATTTTGTTTGATTTATAGCAGATAGATGTATGACATGGTTACTCCAAGCTAAACTCTTCCATCCATCCACAAAACCATCATAGTGAAAAAGCATCACAACAAAATCACTTGACAAGAACTGCCACCAGCAATATGAGTCAGAAGATAGAATGAGTTTTAGATCAAAGAAAAATTGCACACGTGAAGGAATAATAACCTTTTCAACAATATTGTTGACAATTTCTTTCTGCTTAAGTCCTACTGCCATAGCCAACAGATTCAATGGGCGCTTTAAAATTGTCTACAAAAAAGAGAAAGTGATGCATAAAAAGAAAATTAATAAGGTAGATACCATCAACCTATAAGATAGCAGGATTTTGACTAATATATAGTGATAGGTCAGATCAGAAATAGGTAGAGTAACAAATATTTATTATAGAAAGCACTCTGATCGGTATCAGTGGGAAGCTAAACAAGAGATCCAAAATGATGAAATGGGGATTATCTCCCTCCTTAACTCCCAGGTAGTTCATTCTCTCCCTTCAGTGTCCAACTTCTTGCTTGCAACTTTTAGTAGACCCTGACCATTACTCCTTATCCCTTTAGTTACTGAATATAAGTAGTTATTCTATTGTTAACAGAACTGAGTCCTAATCCCCTAGTAATCCTCTTATTTGCCTAAGCTGGTCCCTTTCAATCAGTGGGTCGTTACTAAAACTTATTTACATAAAGAGAGTCAAATGCTTAATGTAGCAGATCACAAGAGAGGCAACCAAAGCATTCAAGCGAGAAACTTAACTTGTGTGCCGATAAGAAAGGGGATAGGGCGAAAAGAGATGCAGGAAATAAGCAGTGAACAGTGACAAAGAGTAAAGTGTCTCTTGAATACCCTGTTTTATATTTTGTGTTTCAGATTTTATTGTTCATTGTAATTCTATTTCATTGGTACTCATACATAAAGTGTTTTCAGAAGGATATACAGTAGATTCCCCACATATAAGCGAGATCTGTCCCAGATTCTAAAGTAAAATATTTGGTAAAGTACTTTGTTCTTTTGACTTTTAATCCTATGCATGAACATTTCCTAAGAGCAATAGAAAACTACTCTGACTTATGGAGCAAGTTATTTATATTCATAATTTGCAAGTCATCATTTCTTTCAGTTAGCTCATCATTGTGTACACTCCAATAATCCCAGAACATAAACGTGCATTTAAAAAACAAATAAATAAGATTACACCATTAAAAGTAGCATTCTAACATATAAAAAGCAGTCAAGAAGTAAGTGGCACAAAAACATATGAACCTCCACCTTCATATAAAAATCAGTGTGTTGAGAGTCTTGCTAATTTTGGAATTGATAATAGACTGGATTTTAAGTGGTTTAATGTTCTACCTTCTTTCATCAATTTAGACTTTTTCTGTAATAGGTATCAAGTCTCTAATTTTCGTTTTGTTTAATTCTTTTGTGATAGTGTGATTGTTTTGTTTCTAAGCATGGGTGTGGTTTAGTCCCGCCATGGTTTTGTATTTATTTTTCTCCTCCTTTATATGCAAATTCGTGTGATGACATATGATTGTTGAACTTTAGGGTAGAGATTCATAGTGATACCTCACATTTGAATTAAAAAAAAAAGTATTTACTTAGTGCAACCTAATATCAAATTTAAAAAGAAAAATATGAAGTTATTTCTTAATCATATCCCAATATGTCCATACACCAACTCTTAATATAAACAACAAAAGTCATCATAGTTAAAAATATTAATTGTACACATCAGATAACTTGTTCAAGATCAAACTCCAAACCAACTTTAGTAGAACCAAAAATATTTCCCGAAAGGACTGTACTTACAGTTGATTAACAACATTTTATCATGTGAAGCTTAAGATTAACACTTCATGAGTCTTAGATGAATTTCTATACAATAAATGAAGGACTAGAATTAGCACACCTCACACATACATGATCTTTACCAGAGTCCCATAAGGGCCGCATTTCCAAGTTAGATGTTCTGGCAATAATTCCTTCAGGTAATGCCTCACTTCCCAAAGGCCAGCATTCTCTCTATGAAAATGGAAAAATGAAGAGAATTGGAGATAGTTCCAAGGAATAAGCTTACAAGTTATATAAAAAAGAATCTCTCCCCCCAAAATAACAAACCTTGCAAGCATTTGATTTTGAATCTGGTATTGTATGAATTAGTCCCCATCGTGCTAATCTCTGCATACATAATACCCAGAATATTTTCAAGTAAGCAAAACTAATTTTCAATTGCAGAAAATAAAAACAAGAGTAACTAAAATTCAACTAGAGTTACAAACTGTCAGAGCCTAAAAGTTGAGTGCTACCAACACTCTTTGGATGCTCTTCCCACAAGTTCTCTATAGTTATGAAAATTTTATCAGGATCCCATCAAATAGTGAGTGGGCCCAGTTGTTTTTGATACCTACATAAAATTTAACCTATATAAAATATTGCATACGGTTTGTTTCTTTCATTTCTCCAGCCTAAGCTAAACTGGGAACCATTCGTCAAAGCTAAAAGAGATGCAACAGATGCGATCACATTTATGTTGGATGGTGGTGGGACTTTTAAGTCAATTCGCAACCACTTGACCTTGTTAGACAATCCAAGTTGGTGATTTTAATATTGTTAAATCAATTGAGAGCAGCAAATACTACCCAGAAGATACATCTTGCCAATGCTCAAATGAACAAATACCATGCAGGATTATATTCTTCCCACCACTTTACCAAAAGTAACAGTTTTGAAGCATTATTCATAGAGAAAGCCAACTAAGGTGGCTCGTATTTCAAAATCCCGGATATATATCTACGGAAATATCAATTTGATAATAGTTTCTTTATAAGGAAGAAAAAATTGGAGTAGCAACAATACAACAAAATTCCAGCAAAATTCCTAATTTCCCAGGTATTTTAACTAAAATTGAAACTTGGAGAGTTAGAAATACAATAATACATACCTGTTTGTATTCATTTGCAAAAAAAGCATTTCCAACGAAATAAGCACCAGAAATCAAAGAAACCACGATGAGGACACTCCAGAGGAACAACCTATTCTTGGGTTCTGGCAAGACAAGACCCTGGCAAAGACAACGGTTAGAATAACAACAAGTGGGGTGATGAACGCAGTTCAATCAACTACTGCCGAGTTCTTAAAAAGGTTGTAATCAGATTATCCATCCTGTTTACGGCCAACAGAGAAGAGAAATCACAGAGTTTATGCAAGGGATGCAATAAAATTATGAAGTGAACATCGAAAACACAGTACTGAAAATAGAGTGGGTATAAAATGTGAAACCAATCGCAGAAAAAGAAAGTAAAGAAAGGCAGCAGTGACAGAATAAAGGAATAGAAACAACTTGTCGAGGATCATAGATTCTGAGGAGAGAGGAAGCCGAAAAGGTGGTTATAAGTTGACGGATGAAGAAAGTGGGAAACATGTTTAATGAAGGAAGTGGGTGAGAGAAAAAAACCTCAGACAGCCGAAAATTAGTGAAGAAAGTGAGACGGAGAGGGAGGAAGCTTACAGTGACAGAATCGAAAGACTTCATTGTTGAACGTTGAAGTGAGTTGTGGGAGGTAGCGAAAGCAGAAAAGGGTATGAGTGTTACGTATGATTAGTTTAGTAGGTGAAAAAATGAACGATCGTTGAAAGAAGAAAAGGGAAGAAAAAGGAAAAGAAGGAACAATTGGAAAGGAAGGAATAGGAGAAAAGAAAGTTGGTTGGAGAAAGAAAGGGAGAAAAGAAGAAGACCGAATAAAAGAGGTGGCGATGCTGCAAACATATAAACAAACAAAGAATCAGTGTTCTGTAAGAAACCAACGTTGTACTTAGTCACGACATAAAACTAAAACAAATTTACCTTTTAATATAAATGTCATTTTTTATTTATGTTGTCTCTTGAAAATATATGTGATTTAAAATTTCATTGATATTCCAACTTGTTTTCAAGAAGATAATGTGAAAAGACTGGTATTTCTTGAAATGGGTAGCATAGAAAACATACTTCGACCATTAAATCAGTCAAATACATTATTAAACCATAAATGTAATAAGTAATAAATATAATGTGTTATATTAGTTTGATAAATCAACATATATTCGATTAGACTCTTCCCTGTTTAAGGATAGTTTAGTCATTTACATTACAACACTTTTAAATTAGCTTAAATATAAAAAAATTGATTGGTGGAAACTTTTTAATTTAATTTTAAATAGAGAGGGGACCTAATACTAGTATCGATAATTGAGAAGGAAGTAGCCACGTTTCAAAGATCATTTAAGAAAGCTTTATTATATTTATTAATGGCTTATAACAAATCAACTGCTTATATTAAGAACTAACTGCTTTAAACGTCGTAACATGCGCACATGTACACCAATAAAAAAACATACACACATAAATATGAAACTACAGTGTCATTAAAAACTGTTCAATCCGTAATAATAACTATATGTTATTATATAAACGTAATAAAATGTATCTTTTACAATTGATTGTTTCTTTGTTTTTTTCTTTTCCCGTGTATACAAAAATAACTCAGTTTTCTGTTTATTTATCTTTATCATCTTGTTTATGATGTATGGCATTTATTTCTCATATTGAAAAAGGAGTATTGAGATGAAAATATTCCACTGGTTAAATTATAAATTTATGTTGGTTGAAAGTGACAGGGTTAAAGATATTTTTAGTCCCTAAACTATCAAGCGATTTTGGGTTTAGTTCCTCTTTCAAATTAAGGTACATTTTAGTCCTCCTTCTTAATGAAACTTTGATTTTAGTCCTCCAAACCCAACGGCGTTAAAAAAAGGTCGAGGTGGCTAACGGTGAAATTGTATGACTTTTTTTTTCTGACATTGAGTTAGTCTTTCTCAGCTTTTCTCTCTCCCTGTCCCTCGTCTTCTTCCATTGAATCAGTCTTTTCCACTATCACCTCTCTCTCTCTTCAATTTCTCTTTCTCTTTCATTCCTCCAAACTCATTCCAATTCTCACTCTCATGGGTTGTTACTTCTCTTGCAATTTAAATATGAATAAGACGAAAAGGTTGTTAGGTTAATTAATATAGTAATACATCTCATCCTGCAGTCTATCACTTTTTCTTTTCTGACGTGCATCAACTTTTGGGATTATTACAATCATTTTAGGATAGAAAAAATATTTAATTATGCAAATAAAAAATTACAAACTATTAAAATTTTAATCAATAACAGCTGGTTTGCAAATAAAATTCATTAATTACTTTAGTAAAATTTTTACCAAACACTACTAATCAGAAACAGACTATGTTAATTGATTTTTACCAAAATTAACGTAGCCAATCATAAACTGAGGATATTTAATATTAGATTAAATCAGTTTGGAAAAGAAAATTCATTAGACCTAATCAATCATTAATTCACCATGAAAATAGTTTGTTTTAAAATTTAAATCCAATTCAATGGACTCGAATTAAAAGCATTTGGCATTGGATCATTTTTAAATTTCAGCCTTACTTTAATTTTTCTTTGAAGTATATATTTAAAAAATTACTAAGATATGTAATTAATATAAAAAAATTAAAAACAAGAAGTATCTAATCTGCAAGTCATTATAAAGCTAATAGTTGTATAACTTTTAAAATCTATACTATTAAATTCACAACTCGAAAAATGATAATTACGTTTAGATATGTTTATATACTTTTATAAAATAAATGTAAATATAAGTTATCTCATAAATTTATAAATAAAAATATCAGCATATTTATAAGTTTGTTTTGGATTAGATTGATTTTTGAAATCAAATCCAAACTCCAATACAAAAAATAGTTCTTTTTTCTTTTTTCAGTTTTTCGCACTTGTTTTTATGAATAACCATGCATAAAACAGTTAAGTAGAAAAGTACGAGAAATGCCATCAGTATGAATTCTTAAATTGTTTAACCATACTGGATGATTTGTAGAGGTATTATAAAAATACTTTTGTGCATGCATCATGATTCACATCTAAACTTTTCATCAATGCAGAAAATTGGACCAAATCACACCACAACCAACACACTCCCTCACAAACACAAAGAAGACACATTTCCCCTGCATCAAAGAACCCGCTGGAGTTTAACAGAATAACTAATAACCTGGTTATCCTCTCCCTGCACTCACAGTTCAAATCCAATACCACATACCAACTCACTATGCACTCCTCGTTCTCCACTACCTAGTTCTCTCTCTAACTTCTTAAAGCAATATCTTTCTGTGCTCACAACTCACTCCTCACCGTCCTTAAATAAAACCCCTTCTGAACCTCAAATAGAACCCTAATGGTTGACCTCACGATACTCACTGGTTCCCTCTCCAAAACTTGACACATGAAACCAGCCACAGCCTGCAGGGTTAGAGGATCAACATAGATTGTTTGTTCATCCAACGTTTTCATCAACAATCCCTTCATCCCATAAAGAAACAGGCAAGAATTACCACTTTGAGCTCCATCGAGATTATGAGTTTCATGGCAGGGATCATCAGCAAGCGGCGGGGGAGATTTCGGCGTAGTTGAAGTGGCGGATTGGTTTGGCAGCGAGAGGTTTGTGCTTCTTAAAGTGAGGGTCGCAGGTGGCGATTATGGACTGGTCAGAGAGGTAACAACCCATGAGAGTGAGAATTGAAATGGGTTTGGAGAAACGAGAGAGAAAGAGAAATTGAAGAAAAAGATGTGACAGTGAAAAAGACTCACTCAATGGAAGGTGACGAGGGAGAAGGAGAGGGAGAGAGAAAAGCTGAGAAAAACTCAATGTCAGAAAAAAAAAATCGTACAATTTCACAGTGAGTCACCTCGACCTTTTTTTAACGCCGTTGGGTTTTGAGGACTAAAATCAAAATTTCCTTAAGAAGGAGAACTAAAATGTACCTTAGTTTAAAAGAGAAACTAAACCCAAAATCGCTTCATAGTTTTGGGAGTAAAAACATATTTAACCTATATAATTAATTATTTTTAATGTAGTCTTTATCTGTATAAATAAAATATTATAAAAATATAATATAAGAATAAATGATATAAAATAAATCTACCTTGATATATTAAAAACTTTGTTTAATAATTTTTTGAGAATAAATTATCTATCACTGTTTTATTAATTTGCATACGTAAAAACAGTGGTTGGAAAAAAAGGAAAGTTGTTAAAAAAACTTTTTCCAAAATAAATGTTCTTTCTCAATTCATGCCACTTTTTTTCTCTGCTTTGTTTCCTCGTGTTTTTACATACCTCAACTACTTATGTTCAGCCACGTTGAAGACTAAATAGAAACAATTTTATGTAAACTAATCACATTAAATCACGCGAATAAGATAATGTTGATGACTCGTTGTTTTCGTTGGCACAATCAACTAGCCATTGCTGTGGATTTTAAAGATCAAACTGGAGAACAACAATCCATGCAGCAAAATCTCCAAAATGTTCACGCTGCCACAATCCTGATTCCTTTTGCCTTTTCAAAGCTCCAAGAACATTATGCATCGTTTCCAATTGAAGATGGTTTTCTTGTGAGACACCACACCAACGCTGAGGGAATTATAAGTTGTAGCTGCCATCAGTTCGAGTTCTCTGGTATTCTTTGTCAGCATTCTCTTAAGAGTTCTTTCAACAGGAAATTGCTTTCAGATCCCAGATACCTTCAAAATATGAATTTACATGCAAGAGGTCTGCAGTACGTTAATTTTTTGAAAAAAGATGGCATTTTTAGAAGACTAGAAGTAGGACTGGGTTGATTAATCACAAAGAAATTTTGGTTTAATATCAAAAATGACATGCACCATGTAGGAACCTTACATTATTTATGCCACGAGAGATAGCTTTCATAAGAAATCTGTGGCTACGCAACAGTAAGCCATGGGTTACAAAAGTTATTTGAGAATGCAGAGGAAAAGCCATAGAAAGTTGAGATCCTATTCGTTTCCTACACAATGCTGTACATTTGAAATTGTCTATCTACATTAACAATTCTATATATGATCAATGTTTCAGCCTGATCTAACTGTAATCCAATTCCCCGATGAGCCCAAGGCACTGTCTTCTGCTTTACACACAGCTATTCCTTTGGAGTAATCAGTGTAAGATGCAAGTGTGTTTGTGAGAGAGAAATCATGTACATCACAAGAGTCCCTGAAATCGTGAACCTCCAAGACGCTTGCCGGAGAGGAAGCATGTTGTTTTTGTTGTTGATGTTGAGAAGGTGGTGTTGATGTAACAAAGGGATGAGAAAGTAACTGCTGAGGCGTAGACCTCTTACGGGGATCTCTCTGCAAGCACATGCTCAAGAAATCCAAACCCTCCTTGGAGAAATGGGGTGGAAACTGAGGAATAGCATCACCATGGGCAATCCAGAGCACATCACTGACGTGATTTGAAACCTGATGAGCCCAAGGAGGACTGCCAGTAGCCATCTCAATAACTGTGCATCCCAAGGACCATATATCTGCAGACAAATCAACAGACTCGTTCCTCAGCACTTCAGGAGCCATCCACAGAGGGGTCCCACCAAATGACTTTCCCAACTCATTTGCCCTTCTGGCACATCCAAAATCTGCCAGCTTCACGTTGCCATGTGGGTCCAAAAGCACGTTCTTGCACTTGAGATCGCAGTGTACAATACCATGAAGGTGAAGATGGTTCAGGCCGTGAAGAATTTCCCTGGTATACACACGAACCACCTCTTCATCCAATGACCCACCGAATTTGTGAGCCACGTCTGCCAAACTACCTCCTGACATATACTCCAT